TGAAAAATTTTACCTTCACATAATTCGGGTTCGTTTGATAATTGGTTTTTCTTAGTGATTTATTTTACATTTTACAAAAAAAAAAAAAAAAAAAAAATTTTTTATAAAAAAAAAATTGTGCAGAATGATTGACTTTTTGGTTAATTTATCATGTTCCCCAACAAGCCCCGGATCACATAATTTGTCACAATTCTTTCAAAAAAAATTCATTAGATATGTGAATTCCACTCCATATACTATGATTATATTCAATTTTGTGATTAGATTGAATTTTATATTTGGAATCATATTGTTAATTTCAATGATTTTTTTTAGGGACAGTCTCCTCAGCTCCAAATGCACTCTCCATAATAAAATCACGTGAGAATTAATTATACATTAATTTCTTCTTTTTTTTCATTGGCAAATAAAACTTTTATTGATATAAAAAATAGAGCGAATACAGGATATACAGTTCATCAAAATTACATCAAATTATAAGGCATAAAAAATGAATCCATGATAAAAAATTTAAAAAAAAAAAAAAAACAAATCCCAACCAAAAATGAACTGTGCTATCCATATAAATTTATCCAGAAAAATCTGGTAACATAGTTGTGTGGTAAAGATTGAATTATAGTGTGGGGTTCAAAAAATAAAATAAATGCAAGTCATAAATTTATATTCTGAATAAAATTTCTTGTCATAATATGGCCAAGTTTGGGAAGACTAAATAAGTGTACTTTTTGACTTTTTATGAAATATGGGTTGGATTTGGGTTGGGTTTGAAGTGATGTGTGAGAGAGATGATGTGACTTAAATAAGATGATGTGACTTAAATAAGATAGTGACTTTTTGACTTTTTGGATTTTTTGAAAGATGCCACTCAATCCTAACTAATTGGCATAGGTTGTTTTGAAAAGTAGGTTAAAAGTTAGTTTTTTTTGACTTTTTTTTAGTTTTTTTTGAAAAAAATATATAAAAAAATAGAGATGCGATGTGACTTAAAAGAGATTAAAAGTCAAAAAAATTAACTTTTAATCTCTTGCAAAAAGAGGCATTGAAGTAAGTTTTTTACGTCACACCATTACAAGTTTGACGTATAGAATCTAATTAAAAATGTATTGAAATGTATAGATACAAAAATTTAGAGACATAAAGTTTCATGCCTTCAAATTGGATTTATAAAATTTTTGCTAAAGTATCAAACTTAAAATCAATTGACAATATGAAACAAGATTAGTCCTAAATAACACAACCTAGATTTAATATTTTTTGGTTGTGAAGGCCTTCAATCGACAATAAAGATAATTTTATTTATTTATTTATTCTTATTATTTTTTTTGCGGATCAAAATAAAAAAAAAAAGAGATAACTATAAAATGTGGAAATTAAGTACAATTAGTGAAAGTTGTGTCTTATATAAGTAAGAATTGTTCTTAATGCAAATTAATTGCAAAGTTTTCATTAATTTATAATTAGTTTATCTATTTTTCTAATGATATTTTCCCATTAAATATCAAGTTCAAATTTAAACCTACTCCAGTTGAATGATTTTAAGGCCATGCTTGTTTGGCGGATTAGGTTGGATGTGATTTTAAGGTCATGCTTATTTGGGAGATTAGATTAGATGTGATTACGAGTACGGTGAGATTGAGTGAGAAGATTAGTAATGTGGTGATATTAACTTGGAAATGTAAGATAAATAGTATTTGTTTATACATCATTAAATTAGTAATACCATGACAATAATATATATTATTTTATAATTTTATATGATTTTATAGATTTTTATATATTTTAAGTGTTTGAATAAAATTATTATAAATGATATATTATAATTTAACCCCTTTTTTTTCAAATAGGATATAATTTATCTTTATTTTATAATATCTATATATATATAATATTATTAAATTATAAAATATAATATAAAATAAATTCTAACACTAAGCCGTTGGATTGTTTTCACAATCCTCTGCCACCAGGAAAAGTTAATCCCGTTACAGTGTGGGAGTAGCATTTCATTCGGAGTAACAATCCAAGAGCTAATAAATCAACCAAACAAATTGTACGTGAATCTCATCTCATTTATACACTAGTCCTTCCTTGAGTCAGCTAAACAAACAAGGCCTAAAGGCGTTTTTTGCTGACCACTTTTGGTCCAAATTAATTTGAGTTTCTCAAACCATCTTTTAATGTGTGGCTCATCTGTTTGAATCATTTTTAAAATTCACTTTTTCATAACTGTACTTTTGAAACACTACTTCAATAATAGCTCAGTTGTCACAAGCTCTGATGGCAACATATGGTAATAAATTCAATTTCTAGATTTTTTTCGATAGATTTTATTTATTTATTTATTTTATAATGACAATCATGTAATCGTATGGGGTAGAGCGAGAACGCCCCGTGGGGGTCTTCAAAGCCACAGATTTTTCGCTTTTTCACTTTTTATTGAAAAATAATTTACAAATAGAATATATATATATATATATTTAGATAAGCAAAACAATTAGAAAGCAGAAGTAGCCTTAGGCCTCGTTTGGGAACAGACTAATTTAGTAATTTTTTAGTTATTTGGCTAAAAAGGTAGGTAAAAAAAACTTATATGTTTGGGATGATTTTTTGGCTAATTACGAAAAGATGTGCAAAAAGTAGAGAGAAAAGAGAATCTTTGATTTTTTGATATGAGTTGTTGACTTTTTGACTAATTAACTAAAAAAGTAAGCCCCTAAACGAGGCCTTAGAAGTAACCAATGCCACTAAGGTTATAATTTTCAAACTATAAGTTAAAATAATAGTAAAAATTTTGATTTGAAACGAAAAAAATTACAAAAGGTATATATTTTTGTATGAGAATTTGGTACCTATTCATCAAGAACAAACAAACAAACAATCACCCAATTTCAAGATGGTAAAATTTTATAGCAGTAATTTCATTTTTTGACTTTTTATAAAAAGATGTGTAGAAAAGTAGAGAGGAGATGTTGATTGATGTGAACCACAAAAGATAAAAAGATGGACTAAAATAGGTTATGCCAAATAGTGTATGTTTAAAAAAATATTTTTAAATTAGTGATAAATTTTATAAACATTAAAAAATAAAATCATAAATTTTTTCGTGAATTTATAACATGTAATTTTTGCAATTTTATATGCCCAAAGGGTAGCATGGAGGAGATCGAAAAAAAGAAAAAAAAAAAAAAAAAGGGCAAACTCATGGAGTAGTAGTTTTGTTGTTTTTATTATGGTTTTTGTTTTTTATTTATTTTGTATCCTAGTCCATCATCCTTTTCATGAAAAATCCTTGAGGATTGGGGCACAGAGCAATGACAGCAGCAACCCACATTCAATAATTTAGGATTCAGTTCTCTAAAAAAAATATTTAGGATTCTACTGTTGGTCAAAATAAATAATTTTGCGGGAAAGAAACAAAACTTCAAGAAAAATCGTAACATTTAGAGCATTTAGAGCACAAAATAGCAAAATAATAAATAAGTGATTGACCTGGCATTGGTGAATAAATTTGAAAAGGTCCATATTCGATTAAAAGTGACTCAAAGGCAATTTTGGAGAAAATCCTTCCTTAGCCTGCAATTTTGTTGTTTTAAAAAGATTTTATTTCACCAATTACTTTCTCTAGAAAAATTCTATTTATATAAATAGATGCCTGTTAACACAAGAATTAAATCACCATGTCTTTCAATATACACATAGTTAGGCCTCGTTTGAGAACAGGCTAATTTAGTAATTTTTTGGCTATTTGGCTAAAAAGGTAGGTAAAAAAAACTTGTATGTTTGGGATGACTTTTTGGCTAATTACGAAAAGATGTGCAAAAAGTAGAGAGAAAAGAGAATCTTTGACTTTTTGGTATGGGTTGTTGGCTTTTTGGCTAATTTAGTAACTTTTTGACTAATTGGCTAAAATAGCCTCTTGCCAAACGAGGCCTAAACCTACTGAATATAATTGTTGGCACATGATGAATAATGTTAGAGATTTTAAAAAAATTTATTAAAATTTTTATCAAATATTTAATGTGTATGTAAGATTCATATAAAATAAATCTTATATGAATCTTACATTTATACGAGGCATTTAATAAAAATTTTAATAAAATTAAATTTTTTTGCATTTTCAGGTACATGACCTCATGATTCTCGTGATCCAAGAATAATTTATGCCTGGAAGTCCATAGGTGGCGCCCACCTATTCTGTCCGAAGGCCACGTGGATACACCACGTCACATCCCTAGGCACCCACCCATTCACTGAAGTTATTAATTAATCAGTACAACCATGTTGCAGACCCAGTGGCGTCGCATCCCAGTGAGGAGGTGACGAGTCTCCACTGACTGGAATTTAAAAATAAAATAAAATAAAATAAAATAATTTTTTTTTTTTTTAAAAAAAAAAAAAAAAAGGTGAAGGTGTTTTTGGGTGAATAATACACGGTAAGGGTATCCCAAGGGCCATCTTCATTATCCCAACAGTAAGGGTAGTTTTGCCATGTACAACAAAAATTCTAGTTATTGAAAACTACCAAAAATTATTTTTATTTTTGCTCTACAATTTTCCATATAAATAGAAAGGCCCAACTTGTCTCCAATTGAAGATTAATACTAGACCATTTAGCCGGCCCGTGGGTCCATTTTTTAGCCCCTTTTCGATAATCCAAATCGTTCAATGTGCAGAATTCGTCAAATACTATATTCTTATGATCAGATATCGATAACTATTTGATCGGATCAGATTTCTGTCAAGCGTTTATATTTTAACCTATCATTTTTTTTATATAAAACTGATCTGATCAAATAGCTATCGATATCTGATCAACATAATTTTTTGAAGGGTTATAGTACTTGACGAATTTTACACATTCAACGGTTCAAATTATCGAAATAGGACCCAAAAAATGAACCCCATGGCTGGATTGGATCGTAAATAGAAATAGTTAAAAACATTTAATGCGCCCATAAAATTAATATAGACACAAACATACTGATTCCTATATTATCCAGCTCCTTCAATGCATCATTGCCTGGTAAACGTTACGATGCTCCTTTGCGCAAGGAAATCGAGGTCATCTCTCTCTCTTATTCAGGATTTCTAAATATTGACCGTTTCTTAATGAAATTTTAGACTTCCAATCCCATATTGTTGATACTATATACTGATACGGTTTTTTAAAACCATGGTGTGATTACTAAGTACTAACCTATATATTAGCAAAAACAAACAGGCATGTTTTACAAAATGGAAAGGAGTAGCCGATGAGAAAGAAAGGAAGAAGGTTTTCATAGAATTCATGAGGAAGGAAGTGAAGATTTGCAAGTTAGATAACACTACCTTGATTGTCGGACTAGTAATGCCTCCGGCAGCCATGGGAGTGAAGAGGGCAGGCGAGAGTGTGCCGCAGCTGAGTTTGATAAAGACCATCCCCGACGTCGTGTTCGTGCCCTCTATCACTGTATTGGCCCTGGTCTCTGCTAAGCTCTCCAGAAGGATCTTCTCAGGGAATGCTGCTTCCTGAGTTTACCGAGTCCCTCTCAACCCATTCACACGATACAGAGTCCAGAAGTTTGATGAATGTTATGTAGTTATATGGATCAACGTGATTACATTGTAAAACAAATGTACTAACAGAGTTGTTTCTAGTGGGGTATCCATAACTCAAAAAGTCATACACAAATAAAAGAAGAATGCCATAATCATCCAATTTCCAATGCTGCTTAACAGGATAGGATTGGAAAACAAAATAAAATAAAATAAAAACTGTTTTCTTTTCCTGTATGTGTAACGTGTTCAATTGTTACAGGAAAATATACTAGTAAACTGTTTGCTCGAAGGAAACGCAAAGAAAGCTTAAAACGTTCTTGTACATAAACTTTCTTGTTAATTGATCAAGGCTCACATACTAGTGTACTTAAGTCAAAACATGAAACATGAAGAGCCCCCCAACAAGGAGATAGGGGCCTTGAATGATGAGGTTCATGAAACTGGTTCCACACCCGGCTCCTTCTCCCCTCTCACAATAACACAACTATATGATGATTTCTAAAAAAAAGAGTCAAAACATGTAAAACTAGTTCAGCCAACAAGGACAAAGACAAAACTACAGGCTATACAGTCATTGCAACTGAAAAGGTGGCAGCATGGTATTGCTTACAAGAAGCATTAAATAGATACCCGTGCAACCTGACCTCGCAATCTCCCATCACAGAATACGTATTACAAAAAAAGAACCTCAAATGTCATTCGTAAGTAATAAGGGGGTTTTTTTTTATGTAGCATAAACATCAAATTATTCAGCAACGCAATTCAACATGGAGTAGATGACAACCTACTGTGAAATCAACGAAATTAACCAAAGCAAAATGTTGGATGGCAACGCCAATCATAAAGTAACAAAGGAGGTTTTCAGTAGCTTAGAAGTAAATCAGTACAAATTGGTTCAACACATAGCATCTTGCCACACATGAGTAGAAAGTTTCATGAGAGATCACCATAGTCAACCAAAGTGAGCCCATCACAAAACAAAAATCCAACCACCACCACCACCACCACCACCAAGAATCAAATTCATCTAACAATAATTCCAAGAAGCAAGAATGATAATTTCCTTGATATTGAAACAGTACTAATGTGATCAAAAACTCAAAATGTACATATTCAACTCCACGAGACATCCAAATCAAACACCAGTTTCAAGCTACAGAGAAACTACAACCAAACTGATAGCATGTACAAATGCAGTCAAACGAAAGGACAATTTGTCTACATGGAATGAACTTGCTCCCACTAACCTTCAGATATATGCACTAATCAACTGCATTTTTCTTAAATCCGAAAGAGGTAATGGTATCATTAAACCTTAAACACCATTGCCTAGAAGCTTGTTTAAGGCCATATATGGATTTTTTTTAATTTGCAAGCTAAATGTTCTTTACCTTTCTTTGTAAATTCTTCTGGCTGTTACATATAAATTTATTCAGCCAAATTCTCATTTAAAAAAGCAGTTTTCACATCCATTTGATGCAACTCTAAGTCATAATGAGCTACTAATGCTAGGATGATTCTAAGCAAGTCCTTCTTAGATACTGGAGAGAAGGTCTCTGTATAGTCTATGCCTTCTTTTTGAGTAAAACCCTTGGCAACAAGTCTGTCTTTAAATCGTTCGATATTGCCTTTTGCATCACGCTTGGTCTGGAAGACCCATTTATACCGACCTTTTTGCAGTTATTAGGCAATTCGACGAGATCCCAAACACTATTCTGTTCCATGGATTTTAACTCTTCATTTATAGCATTGACCCATTTAGAAGAATCATCACTATTCATGGCTTGCAAAAATGAGACTGGATCTTTGTTAATCCCAATATCAAAATCAGATTCCTGTAGATACACCATGTAATCATCTGGAATGGCAGTGCTTTCTTTCCCTCTGAGATCTTCTCAGAACTGCCGACTGTGGTGGTTCTACAATATTTTCAATGGTGGTATCTTCATGAAGTGGTAAAACATGGGGTGGTGAAGGATTTTCATTATGTTGTTTGTTTCCCTCAGCTTGTGGAATAGTCTGAGGAACAATAATTTTTCGATAAGGGTCAAATGTTGGCACATCTACCCTAAATTCCTCGAAATTCACCACTCGTGTTTTCTCACTCCCACTAATTTCACCATTCTCTAGGAATCTAGCATTACCAATCTCCAATATCCTCGTACTGTGATTAGGACAATAAAATTTGTACCCTTTAGACTTGTCTGGATAACCAATGAAATATCCAGATATTGTTCTTGAGTCCAACTTTTTCTCTTATAGGTTGAAGATTCTTGCCTCTGCTGGACAACCCCAAATATGTAAGTGTCTCAAACTAGGTTTCTTACCAGTCCACAACTCAAAAAGAGTTGTTGGGACCGCCTTACTAGGAACCCTATTTAATATATACATTGCAGTCTTTAAAGCTTCACTCCACATTGAAATAGGTACAATTGAGTAACTTAACATACTCCTAACCATATCTTTAAGTGTACGATTACACCTTTCAGCAACTCCATTTTGCTGTGGCGTACCAGGCATTGTATATTGAGCACAAATGCCTTTCTTTTCTAAGAATTTGGCAAATGGGCCAGGATTTTGGCTTGACTCATCATATTTACCATAATATTCACCACCCCTGTCTAATCTCACTATTTTAACCTTTCTATCTAATTGTCTCTCGACTTCAGTTATATACACCTCAAGGATGTCAACAGCCTGAGACTTTTCATGAATTAGATGCACATATCCATAACGTGAGAAGTCATCTATAAATGTGATAAAATATTTTTCACCACTAAGACATGGGATGTTGAGTGGCCCTCAAATATCTGTATGAATTATCTCAAGAAGCTCATTACTTCTTGTGGCACCTTTCTTGGTGTGTTGGGTTTGCTTTCCTTTAATGCAATCCACACATATCTGAAAATCAGTGAAGTCTAGGTTTTCCAAAATCCCATTCTTCAATTTTTCAATTCTATTTCTAAAGATATGCCCCAACCGTTTATGCCACAAGATTGAGGATTTTTCATTAATTAGACCACGTTTTAAACCAATATTTGAATGCAGAGTTACTAATGGTTGTGCAAACTCATGATTTAAGGTAATTTTATATAAACCATCACATAAATTACCAGAACCAAAAACATTAAATTGAGGTTTCCACAATTAAATAAAACTGAATATCCAACACGATCTAATTTGGATAACGAAACTAAATTCCTAGAAATTGAAGGAACATAAAAAGTGTCTTCTAGATTCATCTGATGACCCGTCTCTAAGATCAGTCAATAGGTTCCTACAGCTACGACTTCAGCTTTGAGACGGTTTCCCATATAGATAAATCTTTCACTTTCCTTCAGTTTCCTGGTTGAGAGGTATCCCTGCATGTCATTTGTAATGTGGGTCGTGGCCCCAGAGTCAATCCACCACATATTAGAAGGTACTTCAGCAAGGTTTGATTCATAGCAAACAAAAGAAAATTTCTTATAGTTCTTTTCGAACCAAGCCTTTCGCTTGCTGTAGTCTTTCTTCACATGTCCCTTCTTACCACAAAAGTAGCACTTGATAGTGAAACCATTCTGAGCCTGATTTTCTTTCCCCAGGTTCATTCCTTCTCTTTGGTGGATTTTTCTTTGATTTTACAAACTTACCCATCTTTTTCTTTATAGCTTCATGAGTTACAGCCAATGCAGTTTGACGTCCTTCCTCCCTCAACCTCACTTCCTCCTGAACACACATATTAGTCAGCTCATTCAAACTCCACTTATCTTTATTGGTGTTATAGTGAATTTTGAATGCACCGAACGGTGATGGAAGTGAGTTGAGAATAAACTGCATGAGGAAAATTTCATCAACCTGCATCTCTAAAGTTTTAAGTTTTGCAACTTTGTCGCCATATTGAGGATGTGATCCTTAACTCCTCGGTGGCCATTATATTTCATTGTTGGTAATTCAACCATAATAGTGCCAGCAAGTGGCTTGTCGATCTTCAACAGCCTTTAACCAAATTTTACTTTAAGCGTTAGGGTAATGTCACTAAAGAGTTCTTTGGTCAATAACCAAGTAAGATCCCAGGAAGGTCGGAGGAGTCATGTAAACTGAACATGTTCATACCATTCCGAAAAATTCGAGCCAGTAAGTAGAGGGACGCCCGATGCAAGAGAGTGCAATGAGGTGGGAACTTTTACTGAAATAAGATAGAACAATATACATATTAACGTTTTGAGAATTATGATGAACTATTGATATCACATAAGTTTTTCCTTTGGGCAAAACTTAGGTATATCTATTGTCCATTCGTCAAGAATCACTTATGTAGGTCTAAAGTAATTTATGCAATATTTCAGCTAGTCATGTTACCTTTGGGTATTCAATTCTAATATTTCAAATTACATAAGTTACATTATCCTACCCAGTTCATAATTATTTGAAAGTGACTCTCCTTTGGGCTAGTCTCAATCTCCTAATTATAACTGCAATTGAGAGTATTATCGACCTTAATGTTACCTTTTTTTAACAATTCTTTTATGTAGTTCTATATTCATAAGTTTTACAAATTTAGGCCACTTTGGCAGCTACTAAATTAGTAAACCCTATGAATACGGAACTAACTAACAATATTCTCTATTCATTAATTTTGAGTTATTTAATTATCATTAATTCAATCACAATTTTAATGAGATCACTATTTTTATGATTTCTAAAATTTCTTTTATGTGATTGCTATTACCAATATAATAATAATAACTCTGGATGAATAGAAATATTTATATATGTATTATAACAATCATGAATATCTAAAATAATGGTTAATAAGAATTATACCTAATATGAATTAACCACTTTAATATTTAATATTCAATGTCATAAAATTATATCATGATATCAATTTTAAATCATGAAAATATATAAATATTTGACAATAATAGACAATAAGTGTGCATAATTTAAACAAAGCAAAAACATAATCCTCTAATGTGATACAATCAAATAAATATATTTATTTAATAGTCCGAACGATTCAGCAAAATTCTAAAATTGCTTTTAATCTATGCACTTTATCATAACGGCAAGCAATACACTCAATTCAATAACATATTATGATGATTATAAAAATTATTATCACTAAAATTGATAATAAATCAAAACATGCATATGAACAGCATATAGAATTACATAAAAGTTTGCACCTAACATATCACAAAACAAAGTGAGTGAGGGAGTCCATGATGTGCATACTTAGTTACGATTTA